GCCTCTCATTTACACGAAAACCCAGTTTTTATCACAGAAAACGATTATTTCTAAAAACTCCGGCCAAAGTGGAGATCTCTGATATCCGGTTATGTGTTGCCGTGTCAACTGGAAGAAACAGGGTTTTAGGTTCTCAAACATCACATTATGCGCCAGAAAATGCTTAACGTCATGTGAGCGCCCAGTTTGGCATAGTTATGATGGCGCTCAACGGCATATTTATACGGGTTGATGTAAATGACAACTTTTTTAAAAACAATGTTGTGTGCACAATGTTATTATTGAAAAGGCTGGGTCCGTTTTTTCCTGCATCTCTGCTAACTGACCACAATCATCTTACTGGCACGGACCTTGACCCTGATGGGAAGGGTTTCATCTCCGCTGTGCATTTAACAGGTAAGCAGCATGGAGGGAATTGGAAGCTAAATATACAAAAAACAGCAAGGTAACATGTTTCAGTAAATGCATAATGTGTGGTTCAGTGTTCATTCTATGTAAACATGACATCAGTGTTATTTTATGGAATCAGAATGGTTTAAGCTGCCATGATGGTGGCTGTATGACTTTTATCTTTTGTGGAACACAAAAGCCAGAAGATATTATGAAAAATGCCTTAGTGTCTCAGTGGGGTTCTAAAAAACATTTGGACCACATTGACTTCCATTTTTATAGGCAAAACCGTTCTTCAAAATATCTTCTTTTCTGTTCCATGGATGGATTCAGATAAATATGGGTTTGTTACCTCACGATTCAAGCTACACATTTTATCAGTACATATATTACCTAGGAATTGAGCCTCTAACTGTGGTGTTGCTAGCGCCTTGCTTTATCATTTGAGTTAATGTGGTACGACCACATGCTGCAGTGACATCACTGGCTCCGCAAAGACTAACAGACATAATTAACGTCTGATCCAGCCTTAATTCTCTCTGTCTGTTTTCTTCTCGTTCTGCATGTCACTCAATTCGCAGCAGATACACTGGAGGTCAATCACAGTTGAGACAGAAAAAGCTTCTGGTTCTTTGGAGAAACATGCTATTCTATGTGCGTTTAATATAATGAGGTTTCATCAAAGTTTTATCTATGTTGATGTGTAGGCAGATGAGGAGACAATCTTCATAGCGATGTGTACATGGTCCAATTATAGTACTTCTGATATGCAGAGGTGTTACACAATCTTTTGCCCTCCCAATCACATGCAAACGGGTAAGTTTGGTCTTAACGCCTCCACAACCTCGCGAGAACAGATCTGTCCCCATGGCAATACAGGACCCAGATTCACGTCTAAGAGAGACTAATTGTACTACACTTAATTAGCTGGAGCCGTGATAACAACAGCATTACATTAATGAAACAACTGAAAATTAGTTTAGATGAACAGACTAACCTGAAATTAAAAGTACAAAATCTCCTTATTTACATATATATATTAAAATTAAATGCAGGACAATAAACATTAAATTTAAATTACAATTAAATGGCCATGCCTGTTGAAAAAATATATATATATATAATATTATTAAATAAATAATTTACATAAAAAGTAAAATATATAAATATATGTAACAATGTTTCTTACCAACATATATCTATCTATCTATCTGAATGAAAATAGTGAACATTGGTGATAAATTAAATTAAGGTAAAAAACTAACTTTTTGGTCACACTTTAGATTAGGGTCCAATTCTGACTATTAACTATAACTATTAACCACGAATTTTGCCTTAATAAACTCCTAATTACTGCTGCTTATTAATAGTTAGTAATATAGTTGTTAAGTTTAGGTATTGGGTAAGGGATGTAGAATATGGTCATGCAGAATAAGGCATTAATATGTGCTTTATAAGAACTAAGAAACAGCCAATATCCAAGTAATATGTATGCTAATTAGCAAATAGTTATTAGTGAGAATTGGACCCTAAACTAAAGTGTTACCCACGTTTTAAAAAAAGGGGACCAAATGACTTGCAAGGTGTGAGGCTCTTAAGGCTCTTATATTTCAGGAATGAGCCACATGTGGTTCAAGCACCCTTTTTTACCTTACAATAGACTTTCAGAAGTTAGAAAGAATGACAGGTTAAGAACTAAATAGGAGACTGTGTTGCCATGGTAACCCGAAGACTGCAAGAGATCCCTGTGGCATAACAACACAAGAATTTTAAGTGCAGGGATGGCAGTTCATAAAGTTGCGCTCGAGGGCCCACCCGTCCTGCCCTATCCGAAAAACAAACACGAGACTGAGGACTGTGTTTGTTGGAGAACGTGTTGTGCACTTAAGACTCTGAATATTGAAGCTCAACCTCGATCCTCCACAAAATGCATGTGTTTTGTGGTATTTGCACATCATCGCCTAAAACAAAGGTACACAAATAGAACTGCATGGCTGAGGGGAGCCGGTTGTTTACAATGCTCACCGTCTGCCTTGAATGATTTTCTCTGTTACACATGCCTTGTCTCTCTGGGATGCCTGGGACGTGTGGTTTCGAAAAACAGCTTTGAAAAGCTGCTGTTTGTCTTTCTAACGTCCTCTGCTCCAGAAACAATTGAACATTATTTTTCCCATCTCTTAAAAGCTTGTTAAAGACTCAAGCAGATCATAAAACCCGTTCGCATTCTAAACAGAACTTACAGCGATCTACAAACAACAGCATCATTCTTGCTCTTATAAACATGCAGAGTCAAACGCCTCCTCCACAGATCATGACCGCCGTATCACAAACCCCACGCTCTCAGCCCCCGGCGACACAGAGGATGATTTTCATTAAAGTGCAAGGGCCCGTCAGGATCAAATATGAATGTCCCTTTGAGACACATTCTCCAATCAGCTGATACTCAGACACATTGTTCGACCCCCTTTGGGCTCCACTTTTCCCCATTGAACTCCTCTGCAACCCTCCCAGGCTTGTCAGGGGCCATTGCATATGTTTATGTCCACACTCTTAGATCACGCATAGCTGATCCACTGTGTGCACTGTGAAGATTAACAGTCATAATCAGTAAATTATGATTGGCTCGAGACGGTGATGATGTGAATGGACATGCAAATACAGACATACAAGATACACATGCAGAATACAGATATACAAGATAAACATCCACAGAAAAATCTGTGTATTTTTATTTTTGTCCGAGTTAACAATTTTAAACAACTATAACAATTATGTAAGATAATAACTCTTGTTTGAATTACATTGGGAATTAAGAATTAAGTTTGATAATCCACTTTAGACATTCTTCGAACTATAAGTAACATTGTAACTACATGTGAACTACCAGACATTAGAGTTAGTAGATAGATTAGTAGAGTTTCTGCTTATTAATAACTACTAACACTTTTAAGGATGAAAATTTCTGAAATTTTGTTTTAGAAATTAATACTTTTTTTCCAGCAAGAATGCATTAAATTGACCAAAAGTGACACAAAAGACTTTAAAAGTTACAAAAAATGTATATTTCAAATAAATGCTCTAAACTGTCTATTCATCAAAGGATCATGAAATAAATCGGTTTCCACAAAAATATTAAACAGCACAACTGTTTTCAACATTGATAATAATAAGACTATAATAATTGTAATATATCACAGTATTACTGTTTTTTTTTAACTAAATTTATAATCAAGTAAATGCAGCTTTGGTGAAAATAAGAGACCAAAGCTGCTTTAAAAAAAACCTCAAAAATATCTTACTGACCACAAACTTCTGAACAGTAGTGTAGTGTAGTGTATACTTAGATAAATGTAAATATATAACATATACAAATATACCACTAAGCTTGCTGCAGTGCTTTCTGGGATTGCAGAAAAATGCTACTGTCTCGCTCTGCCTATCCTTATCGCTTGGTGTTCTGGAAAACGGAAATGTCCTCTCCGACCAACCATGTAATTTCTGCATGCCAACTTCAAAGCCACACATGCCACAAATTCACTGCTCTATTGTATCAGCAACAGAAGGATAATAGGTGACGTCTGTTTGTCATGTCAAACACACAAATGACTGCAAGCATCTAATTCACGCTTTCCTTCCTCTTTCCTTATCAGCTGAATCTGATATGGCCTAACCTTGACAACGCTATAACACCAATCTGTGAGGGAAAACAGGAACAAAACACAACCAAAGGATGTGCTGATTGAAGACTGAATGGCTGCAATGTCATAAACACCAGACCATGATGCAGGACAGGACAATATAATGAATAGGAAAAGTGTTTCTTCAACATGTGTTGGCTATTAATACATCATAAATGGAACTGAAATACTGCTTGAGGTTTCAGGACGAGAAAAAGAAAATCAGGCAATTTTCCTACCAAATTAATGAATCTCCTCTAGGGCTTCTGCATTCAACAATGCTGCTAGTGTTGTTCTAGAACTGTTTAACTGTGCGGTTTTTGCTTTGTATATTGTTCATGCAGCATGCCGATTTGACTATTAATGAGTTGTCCCAAGGGGAAAAGTCACCCCTTGTGGAAGAAATAACCATGCAACTCACTGCTCACCCAAGATTGAGGTTAGCATGCATTACACACAAGTACAATTAAATGACACATTCGCAACACTGTAATCAGAAATCATCTTGGATTCTGTGGTTAACCAGGGGGTTGATTAGAGATCTAGGCAAGATCAGCATATCCTAAGCAGAATTACAGCTCAAGAGAAATGCGCTAATTGTCCTCTTGTTGCAAAGAAATGTCACTGAGCACCTCATAAAGCCCTCACACAACCATTAGTGGACTCATAAAAGCCTTGGAGCCTCTTTGAGGGGAGATGGCCAATGAAGTGGGTGGCCGAGAGCTGAAAGAGCAGAGAATCGGCGCATGGTTTCACAAAAAGGCCAACTACGCAAGCTGTAGTACGTGTGAGAGGCAGACAGAGAAAGAGGTCATACTTTTCATGTAACCTGACAAGCCAATGTAGTCTGTATTGACGGTAAATAACATAAGTGCAGCCCGGGGCAGTGACATCCATCTCAACCTTGCAATACAGATGCGAGGATTGACTTACACTGGTGACTTTGCGGTAGATCTGCGCAGCGTTTTGGCACTCTGAGTAGGGGTACTCTGATGTGGTCATCTCCAGGATGCACATCCCAAAGGCATAAACATCCACAGCTTCATCATATTTCTCCTCGTACATCTCTGGAGCCATAAACTCAGGGGTTCCTATGTGTGAGCAAAGATCAATGTCAAAAAATAAGCATTAAGTAGCCATTTAGTTATCCAATGCATACATATTACAAGGACAGTCCTAATGTGGTATCCTGGGTTACAGTGTCTTGTCCAAGGACACAGCGGTGATCCCTTTGTTTGGCCCACCAAGTGGCTGAATGTTAAATGTGCACTCATAAACATTCACAATACATTTGAGATCTGAGCAGGTTTCGAGGGTGAAGACTTCCACAATCACTTAAGATACTGAACAAGGATACTACTAATTCTACTAATTCTAATTGTAATAAAACTAATTCTGGGAACTTGAGCTATTGGTTGGACTAGCCTGATGTACCAAGTTACACACTCTTTACTTATTCATGTCATTGAACTCTCCTTATCTCAGTGTGAGAAGATCAGATTTTAAACCGTGCCGAGCCAATGCTGAGCTAATGAGTTATTGTGATATATGCAGCACTGTATATAGGTGAGGTGAAAAATCTGTGTCAAGCACTTGTTGGGGCATAAATACAGTTGACAGAGAAAACAAACAAGATAAGGCCATAGTAGAGGCAGCTCAGGGCACTATTTACAGTAACTCTTATGAAGGTCAAAGAAAGTTCTTCTTGAGTGATTGAAGAGAAATTGTTGACATTGTAACTTTTAAATTTAATAAGCACTACATTTTTTCAAACTTACCAATGACGCTCTTAGCAAACGAAGCACTCTTGAGAGTGGCTAGGCCTAAATCACCAATCTTAACATATCCAGTGGGGCCAGTGATGAAGATGTTGTCACATTTAAGGTCTCGGTGGATTATGGGAGGTGTTCGTGTGTGCAGGAAGTGAAGGCCCTTGAGGATCTGATGACTCCAACGCTGAAGGAGCTTTAGCTTCATCTCTTTGAACCTTTTCAGATACCTACAGGGAAAGAGCAAACAAGAATACCCTTAAGTTTAAAACACAGTAACAAACAACAAAAGGCAAACAAATGTGCGCTCTGTTCCAAAACCTTGCAAACTGCCTACAAGAGGAAGCATTTTAAGGGACTTTCTAAAAATGAAGACTATTCCAAAAGGTAGGTATTTTAGTTATAGTTGGCATATTTTTTGGCTAAATTCTAAGGCAGCGTAATTGAATGAAAAAGGCAAATTCAGAATGCATTATTAGAGTATTGCACTGTTAGCTTAGCAACATGCTAACAGCAAGCTCTACTGAAATAAGTCTCCCATGCAGAGCAATATTTTGGTGGACTATGTAGGCAGTTGGCAGTAAAAAAAGGATCACTAGGTTCGGAAACGAGCTGTGGACTTATTTCATTCCCCGTATTTGTCCTCTTAGTTCACATACAGTATATATACTCTATGCAGTTTTGATGTGCCTAAAGGGCAACCTTCTACAACAATCTGTGAAACATTATGTCACAAACTGTGATGCCATTTGGGACAGAGCGACTGTTAATGAACAGTGCGCCAAAGGACTGGATATTTTATATGTTTCATAACATACATGGATATAAATTTAAACTACTGTATGGTGGTGGCATAGTTGTGAAAGATTTGGGTTGTAACCCATAGGTTCAGAAATTGTGAGTGGAGTGAGCTCAATAAAAAGCTGAGAACTTTCATTTATTGAACAAAACACTTGATGACAAATGACTGCAATTATTCTACAGTTGGCAACTCTTGATAAATGTGTCTGCAAAATGACAGTTAAGAAAAAGTGCAGTTATTAATCTGGGAAAAAGAATGGAAAAGCAGCTGGGCTTCAGTGTCTCATGTGAGAATGCACAAGCATGAGCAGAAGCTCAATTACAAGAGGAACATATTTGCTTGTCTTCTTACTGGCATCTCTAATGGCCACACCATATGAAAGTACTTTCGTAGCAATTTTGCACATATATGCACAGACTGAACTTACGTCTTCAGCGTCCCTGACGTCATGAGTTCCGTTACAAGGATAATGCACTTTTGCCCTTTCATGGTGGACTTCCAGGAGTCGTAAAAACGGACAATGTTTGGATGCTGCAGGCACTTCAGCATGTCCACCTCTTCACTGAAACGCTGCCGTTCCACTTTCGTCAGCCTTCGTGTCTGTCGAAGAGAGACATATTTTAAGTAAATTTATGGGTTAGAAGATTCATGTTAGTACATGATAGGACATACAGTATGGTGAGCTTTGTATACTTTGTGACTTGTAGGACAGGTCTATGTCAACTGAAGTTGAACCACATTCAAGTTCAAAGTGACTTCAGTGGCTGAAAATTCAAAACATGTCTTAACCAACCTTCAGGTCTCGACTTAAAGAATTACGACAAAGTATTTTTTGCCATTTAGACCCCTTTCTTTAAAGTGCAACTTTTTTTAATGCGATTTCTCCAAGTATGACATGTTCCTTGTTCAATCTGGCTAGTCATGGAACAATTTAACCAATCAAATTTAATGGTTAGGTTAAGAGTTGGGGGTTTGGACAATGTTCTTATAAACCAATAATATCCTCATTTCAGGTCAGGGGAGGTTAGGGTTAGAGGTAGGTGTAAGAGGTAGTGTTCAAGCTATGATTGTTTGATATAAATATTGTTCCTGGTTCCTAAACAAAGGATTTAGGAGGTCAAAAAGCAAGTGAAATTATCCATATATTTTTCCTCTAAACTTCACAGGTCACTTGAGAAAGAAGTCTCCAAACTGCACTGCAAAACTGAAGTTTAACACACCAGAATTTCCTGACAAATCAAAACACAACTTACTAAATCAAGTTAGCAGCTATTCTGCATTTTTTAAATATCAGAAATGCAGTAGACATCAAAATGTGCTAAATCCATAAGCTGGCACACGCTCTATGCTAAGGATTCTGTGCTACGCACATGGAAAAACTGACAGTGCTGTCTTCTTTCATAACTTTGATTTGTGGCGCTGAGCTTTAAAGTCTGAACTGCATAATTTTCCTTAAAAAGAGGAGGTAGTTGACAGAAGCTGTTGGTAAAAACACATATAGAACACCTAATTTGTTTGAATTTCCACATCTGGCTCTACAGACAGCTCGACCTGTCCCGCACATGACATTATGTCAAAGGCAAAGCCAGATGGTACCAATAACATGGGGGCCACTCTTAGTCTCGGGCCCTCGAGACAGGTGACTGGTCAACCGGACCATTGACTGCCTCTTTCTCTTGTTTGCCAGACTGTAACCAGCAAAAACACATTCATATTTTTTTTTTTTTTTTTTTTTCATCTTTAAAACAGGGAACTGATTGTCCAAAATTAGTTAATGTGTGAATTATGTGTATTGGTTCAGAAAGACAGTCCTACAGCAAGCGCACAACTTTGAAATGCTCAGTGTGAAGGCAAATTACAGGTGCTTAGACTAATGGAAAACTCATTTCTGAATAGATCTGAAACATCCTGAATGTGGGACAAAGACAGCTGGTTATGTAACCAAGGCAGATGAGGACAACCTTGACAAGTTTGGATGAAGTTGGCGGGAGTGAAGGGTGAAGAGTGCATGAGCCTGTTGAGAGCGCATTAATAAGAGTAATGTAGTAATAATATGGCACTGCAAGGAAAGTAGGAAAGAAGATCCAATGTCTTGTATGTTAGACAGAGCTGCTGAGGAATGCTATTTTCAGGAAGTAACCCGTTGTAAGAGTCCTAGAACAACTGCTGTGTGAAACTTACTCTCTCCTTCCCTCAGTTCCTTTCCCTGCTCATCAACTATTTCCCCTCAGATAAGTGGTTTTTAACTGGTTTTGCTTCATGATAAGTGATTCTCAACTGGCTTTGCTTCACGATAATAAAAAAATCCATCTTATTTCGCAAGTGACAGCTGAATTTGCTCAAATACAGTTAAGTTTTACTGGACTCACTATTCTTGACATTAAAAACAACAAAAAGTGCATAGGCCTATTTGAAAGTACATAGGCCTAACCACTGTCTTAGATTCACTATCAGTGATCAAACACTATCCAGATTTGTTTAAAAAAAAATGTAACAGCTCAGAAAATTAAAGAGCTTCTTGTTCTGATATCCTTCTACATTTCAGTTATTTAACTCTTCCTTTTGAATATCAACTCAGTCCAGTAGATAATCTAGTTGGGTATTTATAACCATTAAAAAATAAATCATCTTTCATAGTAAAAGTGTTGAGATAGCTTTAAAAATGGTAACAGAAAGTAGGTACTGTTCACATGGACATGCTCCTAAGCAAAACACATTCATGGTATAATTCTCTTACTATAAAGATGTCACAAAATATGCAGTGTCTAACTTGATGAAGAACCTATCCGACATGATTTTTTAAATCTGTGTTCTCTAGGATGTTTGTTCCCCCCCTATAGGCAAAAACAAACATACAACCAATGTATGACCAATGTATTCCGATTTACGAACAAATGACTCAGTTCTTTTTAGTGAATTTAGTGAGTTGCCTGATTTGCAAAATGTTTTAATCTCATGAGTTAGTGCTTTAAATAAATAGTTTAAAAAGACAAGCTACTGCTTGGACCTGTTTGAAACACCGCCATCAGAATTAGACTCAAATGGAATCAAATCAAGCTTGCAAATCTGAACTGAATTCAATTGGAGAATTCTAACTGTCTGATCTACCCATCGAAGAAAACAACTGCTCATGACATCGATTCATTAGTTCTTTCTACTTTAAACAGGGACTTTCCAACCAAGCTGTTTGTTGAGTTCTTAAAAGTCTGTCCCACCAGGGTTATTTTTTAATGGAAGGAAAGAATTGTCCTTGGTAGTTAAATAATCCTATTTGTACATTTATCAACCCCAAGTGTGGGAAACTCAGCACCACAAGTCAACACACCTGTTAAACACACTCCATGAGACCTTATGCAACACAAAGGCCGTGCAAGCAAGAAACGGTCTTGAAACATACAATAAAGTGTATGTTTCTTTGCTTCAGCATACCCAAAAAATGCATAAACAGAGAAAGAATATGTTAAACTGGACACTGTCTTGGTAAAGCGGAACCTGTAATTGCAGTTTATGATGGCGGTCAGTGGCGGGCTGTGATTGGGGTTTGTGAGAGCGGTCATGACGTCAAAGCCTGCATATAATGTATTCCAGACACATGTAATGTGCATTTACAGCGTAAATCATAAACTGGGAATAAATGGAGGATGTGATGTAATAGTGTTTGAGCGTGTGGGTGAGTTACAAAGACCTGCTCTTTATGAGGAACAAGCTGTATCAGCTCTAAGATACACTCAACACGGTCTCAATGGTTCAGTGCTCTTTTAACAGATACACAGAAGACATCACTGACCTGCCACAAATGTGCCTTTGAAATAGCATGATAAATAAAATAAAAGATAATAGCTACCACTAAGAAATATCTAAGGAACATACTGGACACAGATCAATTTAGATTTTTTAATGTTTTAAAAGATGTCTCTTATGCTCACCAAGCCTGCATTTATTTGTTAAAAAATACAGTAAAACAGTAATATTATGAAATGTTATTACAATTTAAAATAAGTGTTTTCTATTTGAATATATTTTAAAATGTAATTTATTCCTGTGATGGATTTTCAGCAGCCATTACCGCAGTCTTCTGTGTCACATGATCCTTTAGAAATCATTCCAATTTGTCAAAAAACAAGGGGAAAAAACATTTAAAAATCTTAACGATTCTAGACTCTGAACAGTAGTGTACTATTGATTAGAAACTTGAAATTGAAAAAGTGTTGTTGTGAATGTTCCAAATGTTTCAAATGGGAAATCAGAAATCGCAGATAATAATATGTGCAAGAATTTGAATATGACAGAATTCGTCTCAGTCACTGTTTGGATCAGCAGCATTTACTCACTAATATTTTAAGGCTTTAAGGGCAAAATAGACACAAACATTTTAGTTTAAAAAAAGATCTACCAGGATATGTCTGCTATCAAAAGTCAGTGAATTTAATATTAAATGTTAATATAATTATTATGATATTAATAAAACATTGAAAGTAAAATAAAATGATCCATCAAAAGAAAGTAGCAGTAATATTTGATATAGCTCGGGCTATATCTGAAATCCAAGTAAATGTGCAAGTCCAGTGTTTTAGCACAATCTTACCACTTGTTTTATTGGTAAAGCAAGCTCTTTTTTTCTTAGCAGACAATGTTCTAAACTGCATTGCATGTTTGCACAACGGTCTCATATGAGAAGTAAAGCTAATGCACTTTTGTTCTTATGGATAAAAAAGTCAACTAAATCCCTTAAACATTAATCCAAAGCATTTCAATCCATACTCTTATTAACATGGAGCAATCCTCTGCCCTTGTACATGTATACCAAGCAACAGTTACCATGTCCATGCGAGTACTCATATTACATGGGTCTACAGACTCCACATCTGCTCTGGGCAGTGTATTCTTAGCCTACACTAGAGAGCAATGAATATTTGGCTCTGCGTGTCACTCTTACCTAACCCGTGTTAGGGTGTTTGTTTATAGACCATTCGCTTGCCTCTCTGCCTTTTACAATGACTGAAGGCCAGGAGGATATGAAGATAACATCTATAATGACATTAAATAGCAGAATTAAGATAAACTACTATCTAGGAGACCATGTTTTTCCGCATACAGGCCGTAATTAATACTCTGTCATCATTTACTCACTCGTGTCGTTCCAGCCCTAGTCTTTTTTTAAAATATATATTTCACACTGACACATTTTTCAGAAAATCTGCTTTTGTAGTCCACACAAGAAAGAAGGACTGCTAATGCTAATGTTGGTGACAACATCACAAGTTTGTGGGAAGTTCATAAGGTGGCAACAGGCTACTGGAAACTTCTCAGGTTCCTCTCTGGTCTCTGAGATGATGTGGCTGATCTCAATGTACAAGTGGAAGCCAAGTACTTCCAAATCCATATATTTCCAGGCTCTGACCCACATGGTTGGAGTCAGTAAATTCAAGCGAGGGCTGGTAACCTGCCAGATGGTTCACCTGAGATCTCACTATATCCAGACGTCCAAAAGGAGAATTGCACACATCACAACTGCCTAAGCAAGCAGAATGACATGATAATGACGACAGAATGACATGTAAGTGATGACAAAATGATAATTTGGGTGAACTACTCCTTTA